CTGTAAAATGGAAAATTTGTTTTCAGGCTTGAAAATGGCTTGATGAGCCGAAACGTCATAATTCCGAAATAAGGATTGGAAATCAAAACATAATCGGTCTGCTATTGGCTTAATGAAATATAAACTGATACAATATTTTTTCTTATATCTTCTGAATATTTAATGTGATATTATTTAGAAATTGAAATTTGTACTGAAGAGAACTAATTATTTAATTTATACTTTTTATAATATTAATGCAAAAATGTCAATTAGATCTTATAAGTTACAATATTGGACCCTTCTCTGAATTATTAATTGAATCCTTATGCTCCAGGCCTTTAGGTCCTAAGATAAACATTCCACTCATTTACATATAAAATAAGGCAATGTTATGAAGTTGATAGATGGATTTTTCTTTTTTTATAAATGATATATCGTGTTTCATTTTACTTTCTATGTAATTTATCATCTTGTATGCATGTTAATGTTTTGTGAAACAGCCTGCACTGCTCCGGCATGCTTCCTACGATTATTCTCAATTTTTTTTTTTTTTGTCGTTTTCTACCAAACTGCTGAAAAGACTTCTTCTTTAAGATGTTGGATTTGTAGATGATTCTTCTCTCTAAATAGATATATTAATAAATTTCTGTTAAAATTATCTTTATAATATAAATATCTTTTATACTAGTATCACCCAATGGTCGATATTTGATCAGAATTACAATATGACTTCAGTTTTATGTTTATTTCTAGAATTAAAATAAGCATAGTTGATTACAAAGTTTCATTATTAAAAATAATAAACCAAACATGTGTACAGTGTGCAGTGAGCGGTATCTTTGCTAATGATGATGATGACTTTTGGTTTTTGTGCTAGACTGTTAAAACACACACAGACCATTTTGCAGAACTTATGTGGACTCAGGGTACCTCAATATGTATATTTCTGTTGAAAACTGATATTTGAAATTTTCACGATCGCCATACTTTCCTTTACTATATATTCAATATGTAGGTAAGTGAAAGTAAAAATCGCTTGCATTGCAGGCAGACATCTCACAACTTTCATTTACCATCCCTTTTTTTTAAACTGAAATAGGTATTTTCTGAGAAAAAAGTGAAATGAAAATTACAAATAGTACAAAATATTATTTAAAACAATTAACTACCTTATGTTTTTCATAGCTGTCTAATGCATTATATTTATGATTTCATTGTAGGTATTTATATTTGTTTAAGCATTGTTATTTTTTTTTTTTTTTTATAGTGTTGGCTCAAGGCACGTCGACCCCTATTGGGTCCATTGTGTGCCAATTTGAGTTATTTGTTTAATCAAAACGTTATTTTAGTCGCTTCCGTGTGTCTTAGTAGGCTGGTTGGATTGACCGTCTCATATCTACTGGGGAGATCCATTCGTTCCTCCCCAAATAGTTCCAGTCTCAACCTTGAGAATCTATCACATCTACACACAATGTGAAAGGCTGTTTCATTCTCCTCCTGACAGAATCTGCATAGCGGATTTGTCGTTACTCTGAGATTTAACATACGGTAATTTAGCTTACAGTGACCTGTATAGATTGATGTAAAGAGCTGCTCCGTCCATACTCAGTAGCAGTTTGCTTCTTTTTTCACATGGATCTTTAAGGAACAGCTTCAAATGTTGCTGTTTCCTCTCAGTCCAGTAATTATTAAATTTGTTCCCATAAATCTCCCTAATCCTACTTTTGGCAGTGCTAAGGCTGATTCCACAAACAGGCTTGAGTAACGGGAATGGTATCTGAGCCCAATCTGGCTAGTTCATCAGGTTCTTCGTTGTCTAGTATGCCTGAGTGACCAAGCACTCACTCCACTGCAACTTTATTGTGCTCAATTAGTTTGTTAAGTGCTGTGTTGCATTCCTTAACAACCTTTGAGTATACATAATAATTGTTGATAGCACCTATTGCTGCCCGACTGTCTGTATAGATTGTAATCTTTTTCCCAGTCACATTACTTCGCAGTAGGTTTTGTGCGCAATGGCAGATTGCCAGTATCTCAGATTGAAACACTGAGGCATATTTGCCATGTGGTATAGAATTTTTTTCTTTGTTATCTTTATGATGGATGCCTGCTCCTAAGCCGTAGGCTGTTAGAGAGCCATCTGTATAACAATTAATACCATTATTTGGTTTGTGTTGTCTGCTTCTGTCTATTCCAACCTCATATTTATGGTTCTGTAGCATTGATATATACAATTTTTAATTCTTATATTGCTTTAACATAAACAATTAAGCATTAGATAATACTAATGCTAGCATTTATGAAAACAGCACATGTATATAATATTATCGGAACTCATATTTTATTAAGCACGTGTTATATATGGAAGCTTATTCTTACCTTTCAGCCAAGCTCGGGTTTTTTCGGTTCTCTATTGCTGCTTCTTCACTATTTCTCTATTCGGTTCTCAAATCCCTTATTTCTCCATTATCAAATTCTTTCATATATATATATATATATATATATATATATATATATATATATATATATATTTTTTTAGCATGTTACAATGTGAGATGGTTAATTATTTCAATTAAAAAAATGTAAAGTACTTTAGAGAAAGAAATTTTTATTATTAAGCATTTAAGCCCTGTTAGAGAACATCAATGAGAATAAGATCTATATTCTATTAAAAACTGTTTAATTTCACTTTGATATAATGAATTTCATTAAAGTTGTTATATATCACATGAAAATTGAGGGGTGCACATCAGATTGAGTAATAAAATCCTAGTGTATGCAGGTGTTACAGCTGTCCTCAGAAGCAATCACGAGGGTATAAAGAGAGATACACATAGCTTTGTTCTTTCTTTCAAGGGTATTGATATCTCAAAAGTGACTACAAATCACAAATTAATGGTGTACAATTCTGTGATGAAGCCAGTTCTGACATACAACAGTGAGATCTGAACTCTAACTGGATAAGTCCTCCAAAAGATAACAGGAATGTTCTACCATCAGAGTGCTTTTATGTATCCAGCAGGTAGACCAATAAAGGTACTCCTTACAGGAACTGGTCAGTTCATATCACATGGTATGGAGGCGAGTAGGTTTAGATGGGTGGGACATGTAACTCGAAGCAATCAATTAGAAAGCCTCTACTCAACAATGAATGTTGTAATAGTTTTCAAGAAACCAAATGGATAGATTAAATCAACAAAAAAATTGCACTGCTACATACAAACTGGCAAGCATGTCGAAGATAAGATGTGAGTGTTCTAGTGTTGTCTTGATGAAAGACAACTCCTTTCCTATTGATCAATTGTGGCCATTTTTCTTGAATTGCCTGCTTCAATTGTTCTATTTGTTCACTAGTTCAGTAGAAAGTTGAATTAATAGTTTGGCCAGGCTAGAGCAGCTCATGATGAACAATTCCTTTCCAATCCTACCAAAAATTTTGCATTACCTTCCTTGAAGTCAATCTGGGCTTTTCCACTGTTTGTGAATTTTATAATTCTCTGGGCCTTGGCCACGATGTTTTTCGTATATTATTGTCGTACATGATCCAATTTTCATCACCGATAACCGTTTGTTTAAAAAGTGGCTCGATTTCGTTAAATTTTTTTAAACTATCCATTAAATTTTTCACTGTTAATTCATGGGGAAACCCCCTCCTTCCAATTTTTTAGCTTATTTTGGCATTCAGCTTTATGTGAACGGTTCATAATTTTTTTCTAATCAACGTTTAATTCTGTAGCCATGTCGTGAGATGAAATATGTTGGTCTACCTCAATTTTTTTTAAAGAATTTCATCGATGTTGTGAACAACTGGCTGACCAGGGGCGAGGTTTATCTTTAACATCAATATTTTTAGAAAAAAAAACAAGCAAACCAATTCTGACACTGGCGTTCGCTTAAGCACTCATCACCCCTGAGGTTTACACCTTTGATTGCAATGACTTGCGTTCGTTTAAGCACTCATCACCCCTGGGTTTACACCTATGATTGTGTATGGTCGCTTAAAAGAACATAATCCTTCAGGGTATATGTCCTTTTGATTGCAATGATTAAATTGTGTACATTATATCATACCCACCAGATTATATATATAAATATATAAATCTAATTTTCATAAAGCATTTACTGAAATAATAATAAATAAATATAAACTTGGTTCCGGAACACTTGTTTTGAAAGAAATATGACAATTTTTTTATAGAACAAATTGGAGTTTACTTATAAATTTATTTAAATTTGAAAACTTTCAGATAAATTTCTGTAGTTTGTTAATAATTTCTTAGAGATATTTTGTTTTCTGATTTAATTTTTTTTGTCACCTATCACTGAGTAATCAACAAAATTGGTACATACATACTATCTTTTCGATTTGTTGTTCGTTCCTAACATTAGGCAATTTTTTAAAACATTTTAAAAGGTTAATTTTAACATCAGTATTGTTATAACTTATTATCAAGATTATTTCCTTTCTCATTTCATTAAAAAATATCAAATTGTTTCCTCTGAAATATATGCCTTTAGGTTTACTTGATATAATTGTAGATATTTATATGAATTTTCATTAGAGTTGTTTTATTTCTTATAACTTTTCGTTTTAAGTTTGTTCAGACTTTAGTTCCTGATTATTTCATTGTGTGTTTTTGCTTATAGAACTTTTTTCTGCTGACTGACTCTTCATTTCTTCACTGTAGCAATTTATAGTAACTTTAAACTAGTACGAAACAGGCCTTCTTTTTTTTTTTTTTTTTTTTTTTATAAAATGCACAAATGTTAGTTTATGTGCTTTTTATAAGCAGTTTTTATATATATATATATACCTGTAAATCCTTTTTTTTTTTTTAATGTTTTAATTTTGTGTTATAAACAAGACAAGTGTTTATTTAAGAAAGTTTTCTAAAGAAAGAACTATTTTAAGATATTGGTTTGTAAAGTGTATTATTGATGTAAAATTAATTATTGATGTGGGACCGGAATGCATGTTGAACAATGGGTGCTGACTGGGTAAAATATTGTGGGGTTAGCTCATTGCCGATGTGTGCGCCTCACTGTGACCAGAGCACTTCCCCGGCCCCATGGTGGGACAGGGATGCTGACAAGTCCCTCGTCATCGGCACATACAAGCACGGGTACGAGTCCTACTCAGAGATGAGAAGAGATCCTGCCCTTGCCTTCCTAGCCCTCGTTGGACCTCCACCTCCAGTCTCACTGTAAGCATTACATCACTCACGCACTCCTCCTCAATACAGATATCTCTTGATGTACATTCCTTCTCTCTCTATTATTATCTGTCTTTTTTTTTTTTAATATAGACTATTATTTTGTTTATCTTTAATTTTTTTATATATAGGTAATTGGTGTTTTTGAATTAATAGAATTATATACTTCTAAAATCTGATTCAGTTAACATTAATTATAAAAATTACTTTTAAGTTGTATGTGTGTTTGAAATGTCATAAATATTTTGATATGTGTTTTTTAAAGTTCGAAAGTGCAGGATTTGATATTTTTATCTGTTTTAAGAATTCTTTGGCTTATAATTACTCTTGATGTTCTATTAACATGATTTCTTCATTTTTATTCATGAATTGAACTAATTTCTTATGACCAAAACATATCATTCCATCAGTCATAAGTAGCTACTAATGAGATTAATGGAGTAATACATTGTTATATATTTTATCATTATGGCCTATCTTTATCCTTCCTTACCCCTCCCAGCTCCATTGGTACAGCCTTGGTTAATAATGAGAGGGGAGAGAGAATATTAAATCTGCTTACTGCTACTGAAATCTCAGTTGTAAAACAACACTTTCATTACTGATTTGCTTAATATTTATAAAAACAATAGTTTTCCTTTTTGGAGGCGGGTGGCCGAATGGGCTAAAGCGTGTGCACTGCACCGCGAATTGCCTGGTAACCGGATAACAGAGATTTGAGATGATTTAAAAAGTATGAGTTCACATCCCGGTACCGGAGGGGATTTAAAAATCCCCGCCCTCACCCTCCGGCTCAGGAAAATCCCCTATAGTCTAAAAGGCGAGGTAGGGAAGAACAAAAAAAAAAAAAAATACAATATTTAAACTTCCGAATGTTACTCAGAAATACGGAAAAGGAATCAATATTTTTCCAACTTGACACATGTTATTGTTTACACTCACAATGGGCTAATTCTTTTGAAATAAACTCTTTCAAACATAACCAAAAGAGGAGATTTTCCTCAGTTTAGTTTGTTTATCGCTTGTGTTCACTTTATTTCTCGTAAACCTTTTTTTTATTATTATTATTAATCGTTTTTAGTATATTTTATCAACCCTTTTTAAAACTTCTTCTGGGTATTAAAGAATGTCTGCATGACTTCTTGCAACAGTTGTTGCTGCTTTGGTAAGAGGTGATACTCAGAGAAATGTGGCAGCAAGGCTACAATATGAACCTCACAAACTGTGTTAATCAATAGTGGTTTCTTTGAATATATACATGATGGAGGATTTCAAAGATCTACAATGGTGCAACTAGACCAATTGATATTTGATTGCCCAAGCTCAAAGTAATTATCTTCAACACTTACCAAAGGCTAGCTGATGATTTGTTTCCTGCCTCTAATGTACAAATTAGCCTTTACTTAGTCGGAAGTAATATGATAGTGCAATCCAAGCACTTTCCAGAACTCACCCCACAACACAAAGTTTAAAGACATTTTCATTCATTCAGTCATTCATTTTGCTTGGATTCACATATCATGGACTGATGGTGCCTGGAATAATTTCCTATTAACAGATGAATCTAAATTTGTACTGCACCACAATTCAAACTGAGCAAGAGTTACCAGAAGGTGAGCGATGGAGTCCTTCCCCAGTCTTGTCTATTCACCCGTTTGGAGGAGGTTCAGTTATAGTGTTTAGTGTTTTATATCCTCGGGCTCTCAAGCAGAGCTTGTGGTGTTATGAAATGAGACTATGACTGGTTAGTATTACTCAGACAAGTTCTTAGCACATGTAGTAGAAGAGATAGGCCCAGAATTTTTTTTTGTGGATGACAAGACTAGACCTCATAAATACATTCTTTCAAAATCAAGACATTCTCTCCCTGCTTACTCTCCAGATCTAAATCTCATTGAACATTTATGGAATCAACTTCAATGAAGGATTTCAGAATGGAACATCCTTCCTCAATCTGTTCTATCGGCTTTTTCAAATATTCCTTTTTCTTTCTTTTCAATATCTTTTTAGCTTCGACGACTCGCAATATTGTTAGATGAATTCTGTCTTGTGGATCGCTGCATCATAATCAATCTATACTCGTTCCTTAACTTGAGTGGCTCTTGATATTCCTCATCCAACCATCCCTTATTTTTAAATTTCATTTTCTCACCAATTACTTCATCCGTAGCTCTCTCAATGACCTTTTTTACATAAATTAAAGAACGTTAAATTTTGTGTCGAACAAGTACCTAAACTTGATACCTCGGTTACGTGGTATGGTAAAAAATTGTTCCACCTCTCAGTATCAAAGTATTTTGAGAAATGAAATACAAAAAGAAGCTGAATTTCATGAAGAAATTCAGTGGACGCAGAATTTGATGTTCTACAACTTTGATTCTATAAGTTTTTTCCCTTAAGAATCTCATTTCCAAGCTGCAGTGCCATTTCTAGTAATTTGTCTGAGTTTTAGACAAATTTGGTAAAAATCAACTTTTGTTGACCGTGGTTTTCAACCATATCACTTAATCAAATTATTAAGTTTAGATACTCTTTCGATGCACAATTTAATGTTTTTTAATGTCTGTTTTTATTTTGAGCCCCAGTTGTTTACCAGCTTTCATTAACGTTCTCTCATTTAGTTTTCTACTGCCATTATTTATTTGTTTAATTAAGTTATTTTTATTTAGTTTTATAAAAATATATATAATACAATTTAATATAAATGTTATGAATATCAAAAAAATTCTTTCAAAATTTTCTTCAGATAATATAAATTTTTTCGCAAGGTTCTCCAACTAAATACTCTCCTCTCACCTCCTCTCTCTCTTCCACTAACTGTTTCTGTTTTATTTATTTGATGTTGTTCATTTGACGTGTTTTTTCTTTTTTGTTTATCATTGAAGATTTTATGGTCGCCTGTCTTTAATTGTCTTTGTATGTCTATTAAGGTTTTTTTCCAGTGGAACCTAACAATAAAAAATCTGGTGCGTGCATCACACAACTTTCAGTAAATATAATTTCAGGTATTTAAATAATAGCAACAATAGGATTTATGAAAACCGCGTATGTATATTTATGTAATATTGTTCGAGTCCATATTATATTAAGCACATGTTACGTATGAAAGCGTGTTCTAATCTTTTGAGTGCGCTCGTATTATTTTGGTTTCTCAATTATAACTATTCTCTGTTACAATCTCTTATTTTTCCTTTAGTTAATCATCAAATTCTTTCATATTTTATATTTAACTATCTTTTATATTAGAAATCAATGTGAAATGGTCAATCGTTTCAAATAAAAAAAGTTAAAAGGTACTTTAGGGAAGCTAATATTAAAAATTAATCATTTAAGCCCTGTTAGAGTACATCAATCTGAATAAAAACTACATTTTATTTAAAACTGCTTAATTTTACACTGATATAATGGATTTAATCAAAATCGTTAGAGCTGTTTTCGAGAAAATCTTAAAAATGTGTTTAGTCCAAGATATAAAGTGCCACTTCCGGTTAGCCAATTGTGACGAAAAAGTTGCTGTAACATCTCTAGCATATAGCAACCTTAAATATGCAATTTCACTTTCGTTTGACTTTTTGTTTTTGAGCAAGGCTGTTCTGTTCATACTCACACAGACCATTTTGCGGGACTTCGTTATTTGGACTCAGAGAACCTCAAAACGTGTATTTCCGTTGAAAACTGAGATTCGAGCATTTTCACGATTAATACAGCAATACTTTCCTGTACTGTATATTTCACATATAGGTAATTGAAAGTAAAAATTAATTACTTTTAATGTTTGAATTGTGAAAATGGTATCATGTGTCCGTTTCTTTTTACAATATTTTTCTTGTTTTAAAATACTGTTTCTTTCTGCTGATTCTCATTTCAATAATTCACATTAAAACAAAATTATAGTTTTTTTTTTCTTTCACTGCAAAAAGTTCTTTCTTTTTTTAAAAAGCAATGTGTATATCAGCTTGGTACAAATAATAATTATCCTGAGATTAATTTTTCTAATATTACATGAAATGATTAGTTTTTGAAATTTTAAATTTGAAATGTGCTGAGGAGGGTTCTGAAATGGCTGATTACATTTAAGCCCTTTTCACCCAATCAGTTAACTTCCATGTGGCTACTATTACATGATGCTATAATGTCAGCAAGACACTATTCAGATAAAGAAAGTTCCATAATAGAAAAGCATAATATAATAGATGCTTATGTCGATCCAAAAGAAGTAAATGTAAATATGGACAAACATCTAGAACATTCTGTATGGAATGAAGAATAAAGCAAGGAGAAACACCGTCTTCCTTTCTTTATTGTAATTGTGACTATAGCACAGGAAGTTACAGCTTATACTCCTAATGTTAAATGGACCTTTTTTTAGAAGTTGCTGTTCTTAAAGATATTCTAAAGGAACTGCAGTGATCACTAATTAAGTGGTAGGAAGATTAATAGAGCTAAAAGCAGGGTTCTTACAGATTCAACTCGAGAAGAAGGAACTTTGTGTCTTCCGCAATGGGGAGTACAATACGATAAAAAATAATAATTAATACTATTTATACTGTTTAGAGAAAATAAATTAATAAATAGTAGAAATAGTATTGATTATTATTATTATATTAGTATTTGAGGTGTTCCTCAAATAATTCCAACTCAAATGATTCCTCTTGTAAATGGTTAATGATGTGCTCCTAATCAACTGATTAAACAATATATATCTGTGTGATCTTGTGAAATACATTTTTCTTGCCATCTCGAAAAAAATAACTCAAATAAAAATTTGAAAAATCATGTTGTATATCTAATTAAAGAGAATTTCTTGTTAAAAAAGAATATGATGATCTATTAAGTAATTTAATGATTTAAAAGCATTTCTAATTATGCCTTTAAAAGAATAACCTTACAAAGATTTTTTTTTTTTTTTTTTTTTTTTGAGATTATAAGTTTCTTAAATTTGCATATTTATAATAGTTAAAATTGAAATAATGCAATTTTATAGTTTCTAA